TTGCCCCAGAGCAGAGGGTATGTCTCGTCGCTGAACAAGGCCTCCCGAACCCCTCCAGGAGAGATGCCCAGGAGGTGGCCGTTCCGCAGGGCCTTCACACATTCCTCCTGCGGCCCGTGGATCACACTGAACACCTCCAAGAGGAGCTTAAACCCTGTCGTGGTCATTATAAAGACAATATGAGCACAATTAAAGGGTTAGTTCACCCAAAAATGAAAATTAGGCTGCGTTTTACTCACCCCCGAGGCATCCTAGGTGTATATGACTTTCTTCTTTCAGACGAATCCAGTCGGAGTTATATTAAAAATGGTCTTTGATCTTTCAAGCCGTTTCATGGCACTCAGCGGGTGTTGGATGCATCCGTCCAAAAGAAGTTAAATTAAAATTGCCCATCTATAAAAAAAAGTCTCACACTGCTCCGGGGGGTGAACAAAGGCCTTCTGTAGTGAATCGATGCGTTTTTGTAAGAAAAATATCCATATTCAAAACGTAATAATCACTTGAATCTAGCTTGCGCTCACTGTTGTAAACGGAAGCAGCTCCGGGCGGATGACGTATGAGGTCGGCTTTGCGCATGCGCTGCTCAGAAGTGACAAACACGGAAACGCAGCAGAGAGATCAAAACAAAACAACGGTCAAGAATTAAAAGAACAAAAGGAGGATTTGTAAAGAAGAGTGTCGGAGGATTTCTATATAAGCCAAGACGAGACTGGTTTTCCTTTGCTAAAGTAAGGAAACTTTGCTTCCTTTGATTCCTTTAACAAATGTTGGTTTTCACAAGACTCACTGGTGCATGCGCAGCACTGACCTCATACGTCATCCTCCCGGAGCTGCTTTTGTGTACAACTGTTGGCGCAAGCTACATTAAAGTGATTATTATGTTTTGAATATGGATATTTTTCTTACAAAAACGCATCGATTCGCTACAGAAGGCCTTTGTTCACCCCCCGGAGCCGTGCGAGACACTTTTTTTAATGGATGGGCGATTTTTATTTAACTTCTTTTGGACTGAAGCAATGCAACACCCGCTGAGTGCCATGAAACAGCTTGAAAGATCAAAGACAATTTTTAATATAACTCCGACTGGATTCGTCTGAAAGAATAAAAGTCATAGACACCTAGGATGTAAAACGCAGCATAATTTTCATTTTTTGGTGAACTAACCCTTTTTTTAAAGTAAATTTTAAAATATATAAATATAAATCAGAGTGTGTGTGACCTTGTTGAATTTACTGAAGGTAAAATATGGAAAGGAATTTCAGAATGTAGAATAACTTTACTACAATGCCTTGACAGAAGTTAGTCAGTGCTTCTTGAAAAGATACATATTTATGTTTAAGGTTATAAATAAATAATTTGTGTTAAGAACAAAGTGAAACTGTTACTATTTTTAAAACTAATGTCAGATAAAGTTGTAGGACACGTTTTGTCCCAAAATTCAATTAATCACAATGAAATTAGGTACTGAGTAATGACTCTGTCATGGGCAAAATGAGGCTATGAAATTTGTTTTTACCTGGGACCTTGAACAGAAAATGATCAGCCACCGAATGACAAGTTCTTCCCTTTTGAATGATAACACTTGCCAAGAAATAATAGTAGTCTACAGGAATAGCTCCATGATAGTAGACTATAAGAGCAGGTCCTTCATCTGGAATCTTTTCTAAACCATGGATTTCATAACCTGTCACAAAATACATACCTAATTAATCAGGGGGAAATTATTCAACTTTTTTGTGAAGTATGACACATCGCAAGACCTTTCATGAAATAACATGGAAATTAATATTTGACAGTGCAAACTAAAATTATGCTCCAAAAGTGACAGTAAGGACATCTATAATGCTACAAAGATTTCTAGTTCTAATAAATATATTCGAACTTTGTTTATTAAAGAAGAAGAAAAAAAAGATCACAGTTTCAACAAAAATATTAAGCTGTTTTCAACATTGATAACAAGAAATGTTTCTTCAGCACCAAATCAGCAAATTCTGAAGGATCATGTGACACTAAAGAATGGAGTAATGGCTGCTGAAAAATCAACTGGAATAAATTACATTTTAAAATATATTAAAATACAAAATTATTTTAAACTCTAATAATAATAATAATAATATAAAGACTTTTTCTTTTGAACAGTATTTTATGTGTTGATTTGTAACCTTTAGAAATATCATACACTTTGTGAAATTAATCAGATTATATTGGTGCAATGAATCAGACAAAACAGTTATTTAGATGCTCTGCTTGATAAAAAAACACGTTATGCATTCTAAAAATCCCAATTTAATGTCAGGAACATCAAACCATCATTGATTGTTCTGTCAAAGGATAAGATGGTTTAGGGCTGGGAAAAAAACATCCATAGCCTGATAATACACATCCATCTTTAGACATCACTTTTTAATTATGATTTGACTATTCCTGTTTATCACTTAAAAATCAAATTAACAACACAGTGGATGCAAGTATGTGAGCACCATGAAAAATCCCAGACCAAAGTAGTTTAATTTAAATAAGATAACAATCCAGATCTCAATTAATGCAGATAAAAAGAAAAAGCAAATCCATTACATACCGTGCCAAATAGCTCCATGTCCATCCCACAGGGTTGCCAGAGTTTTTCTCGCACCATCCCAGAGGTTATTGGAATAAGCTTCCCTCAACTGGTTCTTACGTTTGTACACATGGAGGAAGAGTATGGACAGATAGAGGAGGATGACTATGAGAAAAGGCAGGATGAAGACTATGGCTAGAGGTGTGAAAACCCAGAGCAGATACTCCAAGAAACTGAGGTAGTCTTCAAGTTGCCCGAGCCCTGCCTCCCACACATGAACCAAGCAGGAGAGGAAGCTGACGGATCCGTTCTCAAACAGACAGGACTCATTCCCACTGGACATGCTGCTTCACTGTGAGCCTCTCCCAGTGGCAGATGGGCTGAGCAAGGCAACAATCTGCCAAAGGGGAGACCTGGGTATGAAAGACACAAACTGTCAAACGCAGACATTAAGATGGCATTAAAGCTGAAGTGTGTCATTTTTATGACATTAGAACACTTTTCCTATCCAGGTTTAATATGCCGAGTCAAACATTGAAGAAAACAAAAACACTATGATTGTGTGGTGCTATCAACACATTGCTGCTTGTTTCAGCATCCCAAACAGCCACTGGCACTTTGGCTCAAACGATTTGTCTTCGAAAATAAATAAATGAATGAATGAATGAAAAAAATACAATGGTTTTTGTGTTCTAAAGCAACACGGACCTACATGAATGGGTCAAACTTATTGAAATGAACGGACTAATCACTTTTTATACATCTGCAAGACTTAAAAATTGCTTATGAATAAGCTTGTGCTTTAGTTTCCAGCCATCAAGCTTGAAAAAAGGGAAATAATCAACTCAATCAATCAATTATAATCATTTTAAAGTATTAAAGCTACAATATAACAGAAAAAATAGACTTTACCACATGGTTATGTATTATATAAGTCATTTTGGGTTTGAATTTCCAGCAAAAGTAACTGCTTTGTAAAATATAAAGCTACTCTGATATAAAATCACAATATAAATATTACAGCAATGGTTGCTTGTTGATAATGTAAGGTAAATTATACTTTGTTCCTTCAACCTATAAGCTTTTAAACGTAAACGAGCGTAAATTTATATTAGCATTTATAAATTAAAAATATGTATAGTAGTGTTATAGTTATAATAAATTTGTATCTCATTTCACAAGTCACAGGACTCGGCCAATAGCGTGAGTCTGGGGCGGGGTTATCTGTTTGTCCAACCAATAGCAGACGGGTGACTGTTTGACAACAATCATCACACTTGCAGTGAAATTCAATGACACCAGTGGCGTCTAGAAATGACACACTTCAGCTTTAACTCGCAAATCTAATTCTAGTCATTTGATGAATTGTTTAAAAAATATATAATTTTTTTTTAAAAGCACCAAGGAAAAACAAAACAAAAAAACAAACCTTCTCCAACGAAAACGTGTTGCTAGGCCAAACATACCAACCTCACAACGGTGCCCTAAAATCAAACAACGTCGATGACAGTTAAGTTGTACCTGCTCATTCTGTTCATTCATCCCCAGTCACAGGTGAGACTGCTGTACAGCATCATTTACACGAACACTGTTAAACGCATGAACGACGACATGGAAAGGCGTACAGTAGCATTAAACCGTTCTGTCACAGTGGATAGCGATCATAGACAAACAAACCTTACAACAGCTCCAGATTTTGATGAGCTGTCACACACTTCTTCAAAATTACACACATTATCTCTCGAAAAACTAAGCATATAAATGGATGTTTTAGAAGAAGCGTATAAAAATAAGATTTTCTCAAATCTACTTACATTATGATACCTCGATGAAATAGACACTGTTGCCCTCATTAAGTGTTTACCTTCCTGACTGAACCGGCACTCTTTACATGTGACACAAACAGGAAACAGCGCATGTCAATGTCCGTGACTGGGCGGAACATTTCATAATAAAAGTCTTAAACCCTCATAAATGCCATGTCTGTATTGAAAATGTATTTAATTTCTGTCTTTTAATTTGACGGGCAGTTTCCAAAGCAGGGGGGGGAATTGTAGTAGTACTTTTAATAATCCTCGTTTTAATTCATCAGTATATTTATATGTCGCGGTAGTTTTTATTTCTAATGCCCGGTTAAAAGAGTAAAGATAAGGCAGGGTTGTAGAAAGGTCTTGGGTAGATCCTGTTGACAGGTGTCGTTCATGCGTCTGTCATCATGAGCGAAATGTTGTTCCTCTAGCTGATATCATCTTCTATCAGGGCGAAGAGAGAGAGATGACAATACACTGCTTGTGCTCCAGAGCTTACGTCAAGTATGCATTCAAGATTAAGTGTGATATGATCAACTGCTAGAATAGGCATGCTATTTGATCAAGTTAACTGCGTTCAGAAAGTTACATTTTAAATCACCGTTACTGTATTGTTTGTACCTCCCTGGAACTGACTGGTTTGCATGTCTCAACTGGCCTCAGCAGCAGAGAAGTGCCCAAAATGAGCCAACAGAACAGATTAGACTGGAAGAGCAGTTGAGACCAGCAAACCATCTAAGGTTGGATTGATTTTCAGCAGGACTGCAGAGCAGGACAACAACAGAAAGAAAGAAAAAAGATCTGCTCCATATTACTTGTGATCACATAGATCTAAAGTCGTAAATATAGATAGTGAGCTAAACTTTGTAAACCCTCACTGTGTAACACTGACTACTAGGTTGGCATGGGAGGTTGCCTGTTTACTGGTGAGAATGGTGAACACATTTTCTCTTGTTTTCATCTGCAGTGATCGAGAATTGTATCGGTCAGATTCTAAAGCCATCCTGAATCAGACTGACAGTCAGTTGCAAGGTACGGTTTCTTGTTAACATAAATTACAAAATTACTGTTTACATACTGACTTCCTGACAATGTATTTAGCCCAGTGGGCCTCAATAAACTTCTAAGGGGGCATTGGGACTTTAAATTATTTGAAATAAGACAAAACAAGCATTGACATAAACTAAAATTATTTAAAAATCAAGATATTTTATAATCAATATAATTCACTCCCTCAACAGCTGGAAACAGGGTAAATTTAAGGTCATTTTAAAAGCGTAACCCAGAAAATCATGTAAATTATGTAATTAGTAATGTACGTTTTTAATTAAAACTCCATGGGGATTTTTAAAATGAATATACATGTTTCTAGTTATGATTCATACTTTTTATCTCTCTTAAAGAGACAGAACTATACACTCCATTTTTATAGATTGTAGGTATTATATCAAACCTCCTCATCTAACCCACCAATAAAATATGCTTCAGACACAAGTATGCATAGATTGCTAGATCAGATCAAGATTAAAATGAGGTAAAAGACAAAAAAAGAGCAAAAAGTGGATCACAAAATAAGAATTGTTCTTATGGTGTGTCTCACCACCAGGTTGCTACCTCATATGCTCAATAAATGTTAATCCCAACCTACTGCTATAAACATCCATGTTGACCAGTAACCTGTAAGACATGTTCCTCATATGCCCCCACCTACATTTTAATAGCTGCCAAGTTTTAAAATATTTTATTGGGTAGAAATATATATATTTTTAAAATGTTTGTAAAAATCCTTAATTCTTATCCAATAAATCACAAACACCAGGAAAATTCATGAGGCCTTTGAATATTGTTGTGGACAATGGGGGTACTTGGAGTCAAAAAGGTTCCTTTTTGAGAACCTCATTGAGAACCTCATTTAGCCTTGATGTTTTTTCACTTGAAATTTTCACTTGAAAATACCTGCAACAGGTTATGGTCAGGATAAAGCTTATAATGCTCAAATAGCTACACATTACACTTTGATTTTTTTTTTCAGTAGATTTTGAAGCTAATGATGGGTAAGAGCTTTTGGAGGACCTTAGCTGTTCTGTGGATGATGAGGAGGAGGAAGAAGAGGATGTTGTTGATGATGAAGAGACCATGCTTATGGCCAGTTTGGGGCTTCCTGTGGAGTTTGCCAGCTAATCAAAACAGAGGAAAGCTGTATGTCTGTTAGATGATTATGATCTTGATGTTATATTGGAAAACCACTTCTGTCCATTTATGTCAACACTGCTAATATTAATGCTCATGCAAAAAGTCTTCACTTGAAATTTTCACTTGAAAATACCTGCAACAGGTTATGGTCAGGATATAGCTTATAATGCTCAAATAGCTACACATTACACTTTGATTTTTTTTTTTCAGTAGATTTTGAAGCTAATGATGGGTAAGAGCTTTTGGAGGACCTTAGCTGTTCTGTGGATGATGAGGAGGAGGAAGAAGAGGATGTTGTTGATGATGAAGAGACCATGCTTATGGCCAGTTTGGGGCTTCCTGTGGAGTTTGCCAGCTAATCAAAACAGAGGAAAGCTGTATGTCTGTTAGATGATTATGATCTTGATGTTATATTGGAAAACCACTTCTGTCCATTTATGTCAACACTGCTAATACAATTGGTGGCTGACTAAATACTTTTTTGCCCCACTGTATATATATATTATTATTATTATTATTCAACAGTAAAAAAAATAATAACTGTAATTACATAAATTATATTATTTTAAAGTTTTAATGTCCTTGATTCGTTAATGTTTGTTGCCATTTCCTTTTGCATGGGCCCCTTTACACCTGGCGTTAACATACATTTTGTATTCAAATAGTGTCTGAATATTCTTTAACTGGGTTGCGTTTGCAAATAATGAAAAAGTGCATTAGCATTTACACCTTTGTCAAATGTGGTTCAGTGATCTTATCACAATGTGTCTCAGGCACATTTACACTTGACTTTTAATATATGCATGTAAATGGCATGTTAATACCCAGATGGGAAAGGGCCTTGTGATTATGGATTATCCTGTGCAGTGAAGCCGCTCACTTGCAATCTTTTTTGTACATTTTCATTAAAGACTTACTGTGAAGTTTTACCCCATTTACTTTAGGAAATTGCTTGGCTGTAGCCCAAGCTAATGATTGTTTCTCATCTTTAAGGGCCAAGTTTTAGTGAGACCGAAGAACAAAAGAACCATCAAGCATTTGGAAGCCCCCATAGATTATGCCGACACACACAATGACTCTGAACAGAAACAGCAGTGTGCTGTGAATGACATCGCTGAGACCCCCGCTGAACAGACGTGTCCCACATCAGAGGAGGCCTGGCTGAGCTACTGGCAGCAGCATGGGGAGGGCCTGCTGTGGCAGAGCTGGCTGGAGAAACAACCTGAAATCTCCAGCAGTACAGCACAGGAATGTTCCCGCTCAGAGGCAGACTGGGACGAGCACTACCAACAAACATACCAGTACTACTGGGAACAGTTTCACTACTGGGCCACCCAGGGTTGCATAGTGGACGAGACCTACAGCCCCACCGCTGCTTCTGAGGAATATCAGGGCATCCGAGGAGAAACAGAGGCACTCAAGTCGAATCAGATAGAAGAAAGATCGAGTGTTACACAACTCATAAACAGCCTGAGCTTACTGACTGAGGAAGTTGACGGCGAGGATGGCGACCAGCAGTTTTTGGTCTGTAACTGTGTTGATGAGCCCTGTGATGGTGGAAACCGCAAAAGGCCATCGTCACGTACAGCCTGCACTGACAGTTCTGGTTAGTGCATGTATTTTGATAATCAAGGTCTCTGTGTATTAGCTATGGGGACTGTGGTGTTCCTGCAGTGATGCTGAACCCAAATATGTCAACACCTTCCTGCTCCATGACCTACTTTCAGCATATTGAATCTAGTGCAGTTGTGATATGTTCAAATTTATTTTGTCAGTCACAGCAGTGTGCTCAATTTTCTGCCATTCAGAACATAAACGATGTTCAGATATTTTTCTAAGTTAATAAAAAAAAAACACACGTAGAAAAATCCAATGATTATTAACCACCTCCTAGCTTTGACATGCTTAAAATACAACAACAACAAAAAATGATGTTAACCTTTACTTTCCCTCATGTCGTTCCAAACCTGTGATTTTATTTCTTCTGGGAACACAGAAAATATTTTGAACACTGTTTTGGTAACCATTGTTTGCTTGTTTTTTATTTAATGGACAAAAAATAAACACTCAAGACGTTTATCAAAATATCTTATTTTATTTTCCACAGAAGAAAGAAAATCATACAAGTTTGGAATGACATGAGGATGAATAAATGATAACAGAATTTAAATTTGGGGTCAAATGTGTGTTTGTCATGTAATTCCAATTAAGTCTGTGTGGGGAAAATGCTTATTCTTATATGCATTTGTGCATATTTTAAAGAGCATTTTTAGAGTATTGATTGTTTATGACAGGAAGAAATGGCAAAACTGCTTTTTTTTTGCTGTAACAAATATATAAATCCAATTTGGACAAAAGGGTTGCAAAAGTAAGAGGTATTTGTGATCTTAGTTGAAATAAAAATGACATGTTCACGAATCATGCAAAGTGAAATAACCAAAAAATAACACAAAGCTTGTATTGAGTAAATAAATAGTCTATTTTGGTGACTTTTTAACCTTCAACTTATATTTTTGGGAGTTGGCCTGCTCGATATGCTCCGACAGAGCCACCTGTGATCATGATGTCATCACACTGAAGGCATCACAACAACATAAAGCCAGAATTCAGTTTGCTGTATCACAACGCCCCCTGTATAAAAGCAGATCATTTTTCCCAGAGGTCTTTTTTTTTGCAGCCTAAGTTTGGCTCTGCCTGAATGTTTAATGCGTCAAGAAGTCAGCTTTTGAATGAAAGGCGCATGAGACTTTGGCCTATGCATTTTTAATGCTGGTAAATGTGAAGGAGAGCACAGGCTCCTGGGTGCTCGAATTGATCACAATCCACTCGCAGTCGCTCTAAAAATGGCTCTTGTCATCCTGATTGTCAGGCCAAGACTAACCCCATCTGAACAGCACCACTGGAACGGCTTTTTTTTTTTGCTGTATGCATCAGGCAGTATAAGACATGTTATTTTATGATGTTAACATAGTTATTAAAAGTAAACTGAAAGTTTGTGATTTCAGATGGCAGCATGAAACAGACCTCTGCGCCATTGCGTAATTGGAGTGGACAGCCCATAAAGAGCAGATCTAACGATGAGGATCAGAGTGATGATGATGAACCTCCAGGGAACAGATGAGCTAAAGTGAAGAGAGCGTAAGCTGCCGTCCTGTTATTAAGTCTACTGTATTATATCAGATTACATAATTAATGATTCTGTAAAGATTTCTGTTTCAAATAAATGCTGTTATTTTGATGTTATTTTATTTTGTTACTTTCTCTTCATCAAGGAATCCTGAAAACTTTCTACAAAAATGCGTGTGTGTGTGTGTATACGTATATATATATATATATATATATATATACACTGTACATTTAGATTTGTATTATCATAGTTATTCAAAGTGTTTATTTTTATATATTAATATATATGGTTTTGGAACATCTTGAGCCGAGTAAATAATGACAAAATTATAATTTTTGGGTGAAAGACTATATAAGATTATATAATACAGTGCTGTTTAAATGGCTGCTGTGCTCACAGTCATGAGCTGGATGTTGAGGAGCTTGCAGAGGTGCCAGTTGAGGAGGCGTGGGATGCTCTCGGTCCGAGACGTGGTCCACAGCCCAAGTAAGACCTCAGACAGAGGCTAGACACCCCTTTAATGCATTGAAAACAAGCAGGGTCTTTATTAACATCCAAATGTTTTTCTCTTGGCAGGTTTGACAGCATTGTGAAGCTGAAACAAGGCCAAGCTCCATATGCTGGCAGAAGGAGTGAGGAGAACAGAAAGCCTTCCAAGGAAAGAAAAAAAGCAGCCTGCAAAATCAACAAGCACATCTTCTTTACTGATGATGGACCACAAACCACAAAGCCACAGATCAGCAAAGTCCTTCAGAAAGTAAGCTGTTTTTTGCTTCGTGTGCATTTCATTTTTGAAGAAATAAGTCATCCAAGTTCAAATATGAAGGAGAAAAACGAAAACAGAATTTCAATTCTTTGCTGAACGATTCCTTAACTGTTTTGTTTTGTCTTAGTTTGTCCAAAGACAATTGCATCAGGTCAGCCAAAGACAATTCTGAATGTTACAGCTGCAGTGAGTAGATTAGATTTAATACCTTTTGGGATGCAGTGTTCTAATGAACACACTTTTTAATTTTAAAAGTAATATATATTTATAAGTATGAACAAAAATGAAAACAGTGGCATTTAGCTTTAATTATGTCTCACTGATTACGAGCAAATAAATAAGCAATAAGTGCAAGGCCTTTTGCTCAGAGTTGATAATTTTAACAAAACAAAAAAACGTTTTTGTTTATTTTAATATTAAAAAAAGTTTACATTAATACCTGCCTGAAATGGGCGATTCATGTACACATGTACATTACCACACTTTGTTCAGGTGCACTAGCATTCAAAACTCAGTACGATTTAAAAATGTTTTTGAAAGAAGTCTCTTATATTCACTAAGGCCGCATGTATTTGATAACAATAGAGTAAAAAACGGTAATATTGTGAATTATTATTATAATTTAAAGCAACTGTTTTCTATTTGAATATATTTTCAAATGTAATTCATTCCTGTAATGGCGTTTTCAGCATCATTACTCCAGTCTTCAGTGTCACATGATCCTTCAGAAATCATTCTGATATGCTGATTTGGTGCTCAAGAAATTATTTTTAATATTAATGTTGAAAACAGTTCTTCTGAATAACATTTTGTGAAAATCGTTATGCATTTTTTAAAGAATCTTTGTTAAATAGAAAGTAAAAAAAAAAGCATTTATTCGAAATAGAAATCTTTTTGAACATTATAACTGTCTCTACAGTCACTTATGATCAATTGAATGCATCTTCGCTCAGTAAATGTATTATTTTCTTTAAAAAAATCTTTCTGACCCCAAACTTGGTAATACTGGGTAGTATCAGTATTACCAGTGAGTGGTATGGTTATGGAATGGAATTTATTTGTTTGTTTGTTTGATTTATTTATTCGTTTTTTTTTTTTTTTTTTTTTTTTTTTTCTTCTGAATAACATTTTGTGAAAATCGTTATGCATTTTTTAAAGAATCTTTGTTAAATAGAAAGTAAAAAAAAAAGCATTTATTCGAAATAGAAATCTTTTTGAACATTATAACTGTCTCTACAGTCACTTATGATCAATTGAATGCATCTTCGCTCAGTAAATGTATTATTTTCTTTAAAAAAATCTTTCTGACCCCAAACTTGGTAATACTGGGTAGTATCAGTATTACCAGTGAGTGGTATGGTTATGGAATGGAATTTATTTGTTTGTTTGTTTGATTTATTTATTCGTTTTTTTTTTTTTTTTTTTTATATCCCTGTCAGATATGGTTTTTAGACACTCTTCTGGGGGATGAAGTTCTCACTTTTTTGTTGTGCTTTTTGTAGTCCCTCATGCTCAAGCTCCTCTATACTACTAGGCACTCAGCTGTATGGTCTTCAACATGGTATGGTCCTTTAACTGAACGATGAAATGCGTATGTTTGTGTTGTTCCCTGAGGTTTTATTGACAGAATTTGACACATGGATTTTGTGGGCTTTCGTCTTGTTACGGATCAGTGAAGCCCAGTGTAAATTGTTCTGAGTTCGTGCGTGTGTGTCTGTGTGTGTTAGAAGAGAATAGGGTAGATAGAGAGTGGGCATAGAGCCAGCAGGAGTGGTGAGGCTGACACTTTATGCAGTCTGCACAGAGCTGCTTTATTTACAACACCCCATCACAGCGCTGTCACACAGCACCTGCTTACTGCACGCTGTCAGCCCCCATCAGAAAGACAGAACCGCTCTAAGCTCCAGTCTCACCCCTGACACTAACACACACGTTCCCAGCTGTCAAACACACACAGGACAGGTTCAAATGCTTGGTCATCATCACTGGCATGTTGAATATTCAAGAAGAAAAGAGATTGTTTGAATTGTTGTTTTCAACCCACCAGTGCATCTAGTCATCTTATGGATGGACTTTTTCAAGGTGAATTTCTGAGTTTAGTGCCAAACCCCCAGCAGCCAGCTTAGGTTTCATGTAAGGCGGGATTTTAGCCAGTGAAGAGACTAGACCAATTTACTGCAGTGCTCTTGAATTGATTTCTCTGTAGCACAAATTGATCTGGTAGAGGACAAAAACTTTACTGCATCAGGCATTATCACTAGTATCTTTTCAGGCTGGATGCCTAAACAAGACTTTGTCTGGGCTTCTTTTATCACATTGAGGCCTGCAGTTCTGCTGCTTTTAGTGGTGCCAGCTAAGGCTGATTTCTTTTTAATGCCAGGGACCCATCAGATGAATGTTTTTATTGTATTGTTTTTATTGTATTGTAAGAAGCTTGTGTCTGCCACTTTTATACATTTATTTTAAACCACACTGATGGAAAAAAAGCCTTTGGTGGAGATAAAGCAGTAAAATAAATAAATAAATTGCAAAGACCCCAAATATGATGATCCTTGGAATGGAACTGTTCTTTTTTTTTTTTTTTTTTAAGAAATGAATGCTTTAGTTCAGCAAGGACGCATTAAATTGATGAAAAAAAGACAGTAAAGACTTTTACATTGTTACAAAAGATTTATATTTCAAATTAAGCCTGTTCTTTTGAATTTTCTATACAATAAAGAATAATGGAAACATTTTTTTATCATGGTTTACACAAAAATGTTAAGCAGCACAAATGTTTCTTCAACAAATCAGCAGATTAACATGATTTCTGAAGGATCATGTGCCATTGAAGACTCGAGTAATGACTGAAGAAAATTCAGTTTTGCCATCACAGGAATAAACTAAAACTAATTAAATAGAAAGCAGTGGTTTTAATTCGTAACACTGTTTCACAATATTACTGTTGTTGTTTTTTTTTGATCAAATAAATGCAGCCTTCGTGAGCATAAGAAACTAATTTCAAAAACATTAAAAAACTTAACTTTTGAACATTTGTAACAATGATAACAGTGCATGTTTTTCTCAATATTAGAATATAAAATAATCATTTCCATTTGGATTATGATTGCTTTGCATAGCCCTTTTAATAATACATTATAATAAATTGTAATATAATAAATTGTTTTAAAGCAGGAAAGAAAATGGTGCCTAGTATAACTGGTGACTAGACCTCTTCCTTCCTATACAATCTCTATATTCTCTCATACCCTCACAGGTCCAGAGTTTTCTTCAGCAGTTTCAGACTGATGCTGACTCTGAGGAGGTGACCCCGGCTTCCATGCCTGAAGCCCTTACTGTGCCATGTGAGAGAGCAGAAGATGGAAGTCCTACACGACAGGAAGCAGAGTGTGAGAAGACTCCTCAGCAGCAACATCAGCAGAACATTCAGCCAGAGCCAGAAGAAAGACAGAACAGCGATTCAGATCCCCGAGGAGAGCTGCAGCCCTTGGACGTCCCTGACTTCTTACTCCCTGAGGGAGGTCAGCATTTAGCGCCCTGCTTTTACATGATACAAATTAGATAATCACTGTCTGCGCTCCTGTAACATACAAGCCAACCATTAACACAGTTAGGCTTCTCATTTACCGTTCAAGGCAATTTGACGTAATCATCCTGTTGACTTCCCCAGCAGAGAGAGTGCAGGCCTTAAAAAAGAACAAGAGAAGGAACAGGAAAAGGAGAAAGGATGTGGAGATGCCACCTGAGATTGCAGAAGAACCTGAGCTGGCCAAGTACTGGGTACAGCGCTACCGTCTGTTTTCTAGGTTCGATGAGGGCATCAAACTTGACCATGGTGAGTCAGCACAAAGCCACCATCTTTATTTTAGTTAATTCATTGCTTTTATTCAATTAGCAGATGCTTTTATCCAAAGCAACTTCATTGCTGCAGCACCAGGGACATTAACAGTGGAAGATTACAAAGATAGCCAACCTATTGAACTAGAAATTAATTATTCTTCATAGATCTGGCTGATAAAGCCGTGTATGTCAACATTTTCTTTTGATGTCTTTTGATGTTTTATAACCATAATTTCAAGCAAAGCCATTGTAGCAGATTACAATTTTAGAACTAAAACACAGTAAAAGTAGATGTAGTCAAGTTTTCCACTAAAATAATAGTTAAACAATTTAATTGCACCAATACAACAATGCAAATATACAGCATATAAATAAAAACATAGAAATTAACATTTAAATGGAATAAAATGTGCCCTGCATAGACTTTGGTGAGCATTTCTTAATGATGGCGCAAATTAATTGTTGAGTTATGAATAGATTATTTGAAATGAGACGTTTGAATTGATTTGCAGGAAACCCCCCCAATACTGAAGTTTAAATCTTAACGCACTCATACTAAAACCATGAGAATAGCAGGCATCACAAATGAATGGCGTTATTTAGAAAATAGAAATTGTCAAATAAAAAGCACATGAAGTCATTGTCACAGTGTTAATTTTATATTGACAAAGAAAATTGCAAATATATTGCCCAGCCCTAATTCTTCTCAGATTTACACCGATAATGTGATGAGTGAAGCAGGACATTTAACAAAATAGGTAGAGCAGGATTTGACTTGGGAATTGATAGGATGGTAAAACAGACCATATAGCTATTTGTACATAAACCAACAGCCTGCAGAACCTCTGTAAGTGACCTCACTGGAAAAGGAAAGTAATTTCAGAGGACGGGCAGTTTGGTTAAAGATTATGAAGATGATATTTACTCTTTTTGGAATAACATGCACTAAAGAATCATTCACAGTAAAACCAGTGACTTTAAATAACAGATAGAGGGACACTGAGAACTGAGGGACAGAGTGAGATATATTTGTGAGGATGTAGCAGCTGAAGGTGTTGGCCGTCTGATTGCGCTGGCTCTGTCTGCAGTGTGTGTGCTGACGCTAGATACCTCCTGCGTCAGACCAGAGAAAAAGGGAGGGAGAAAG